GTTTTCTGATGAATTTTATAGGAGACGGACCAGCAGAAGGAACAGCAGCTGCAGAATTTGAAGCACCCGCAGCCGTGGGAGCTGCATCGCTAATTCGTGTAGCCGTGGCCGACGCTGGAATTCTTGGGCCGGTCACGACAAATGGTGCTTGAGTTTTAATCGGAAAGTCAACAACCAAACAAAAACTATACCATCCGACCATTCGAACTGCTCGAATACATCCATGGCGGTGGCTGCTACACCAACCATTCCATCGTCCAACATATAATGTTGGAGGACCGTCTTGTCAAAATCTCAAATAGTTCAACAAATTATTTTTACTCTTCTGCCTTTTTACACTTCCAACTAACACAATAAGAAATTATAATTACGAATCATTAACTACCCAGAAAAGGAAAATCCTTTCTTTCTTTTCTCAGAAAAAGAAGCTTCCGCTCTTTCCAAGCTTACGTGTTTTCGATGTTCTCGTTGCTCCACGCACCCTTCATAGACTTGGAGGAGGAGAAGCACAGCTTCATAATGAACGGGAATTTTGTGCCTTTGTGATCGATCGCACTGTGGTTGCACTTCATGATGGCGTACACCGCCAGGGCTTCACTCGGGAACTCGATAAATCCGAAGGAGGAACGTTCCGATTTCAGCGGGAACATTCGCATTTGCGACGGGTGGCAGTCCTTGGTGGTGAATGCAGTCAGAAGTAGATCCTCGGACATACCGGGTGGGGTATTGAAGAAGTAAAGAAGCTTGCTCGGGAATGGAAGCGATTGTTCTTGGAGGTGCTGTACACCTTGGAGATGATCGAATTGTCCGGCAGAGTATACGGGTTGGTGGACGACAAGTAGTTCTGCTTGGAAAATGCAATTTGAATTTTGCTACCATCATTTCCATTAATTCAATGTTGTTCAAGTGCTGGATGCTGCGTTCGACTGTGATGGCGTCTCCCATCATCGGGTCGGGCCCTTCGTCAGTCCGACGTGTGGTCCGGCCGGTGTTGGTTCCCTAATAAACAAATACCATAAACGAATTGTATCCCGGATGGGTAATCTATCCCACAAATGGTTTGGAAGATACCCCGAACACGTCGTTAAGCTCTCTTTTATGGTTATTTTTATTAGGATTTCCAGTTTTCCGACGGATGATCCTCGGGCGGTAAAAAAATCGGTGCAAATCCGTTTCCTCCGCCGGCTCCCAGAAGGGCTGCCAAAGATGGAAGGTTCGTGTAGCAACGTCGTCCGTTGCAGGCATCCTTAGAGACGGATGCAACCAGTGTGTAGTCTCAACTGGAGTCCGTGTCGTTTTTGAAAATATTAAAAACAAAACAAAAACAAGAGCTGTTAAAATACCGGGTTGCCAAACAAGGCATTATTCACAAGCAAATAAAAGTCAGTTCAATGACTTCTTGGCACTGCCTGTACAGCTGCGGCACACTGAGGTACACTGAGAAAAATGTTGGCACAAAATATGTGTGTAGAGTGACCACCCCTTGACTAGGACCCAATAATAGTTACCAGCTTAATACATTTACAACTGCATTGTGTGTTTCACAATGCTCTATTGAGGTCTTCCAATAAAGAAATAGTGATGATCATTGATCAACTGCCGCTCATCCATCAACTAAATCAAAAAAATTTGACACGCAATTTTTATTCAATTGACTTCCAGCTTCCAGAAACTTTATATTGGTTCTGGTCGACCCAGAACGATACGCATACTTTAATATTTTCAGTCTTTTGGATATTGGATCCCAAGTAACATTGCAAGTTTTATCACGGTTTTAAAGCATGCTACAAGTCTAATGCATAGTCTACAGAACCCTCATAAAACCCTTATTGTTACTTGGGATATTTGAACAGAGAAATTACCCAATCTTTGACCTTCAAATACCTTGGAGTCTAGTTTGACTCAAAATGCACTTGGGGTACCCACATAACGTATAACGTATATCGTATTTGAAACAAAAGTGTCAACAAAGGATCAACTTTCCACGATCAATTTCCAGGACATGGTGGGGTGCTCACCCGGAAGACCTCATTAATCTATATAAAACGAAATTCTTTCACTTCTTGAGTATGGCTCTTTTTGCTTCCTCTCGGCAAGAAAAAGCCACTGAATCAAATTGGAACGTATTCAATATCGTTGTTTACGTATTGCCCTTGGCTGTATGCATTCATCACATAATATAAGCCTAGAGGTTCTAGCGGGCGTAAAACCCCTTCAGAACCGTTTCGGGGAGCTCTCATTAAGAGTATTGATAAATTGTAGTATCAGTAACTTCTTTGTGATTGAAAACATCGAATCTACCTTAATTATATGTAATCAGATATTAGCTTTCCGTGTTATAACCCCCCTCGTGTACGCTTTACTAACTACAGGCCCCCCATTGACTATGATCTCTCCATAAAACAGGCTATTCAAGGAGTACCAGATCAACTTCGACCTATCTCAATTCCCCGTATTTTTGCTGAAAATTACCAACAAGTCAATTGCAAAAGAAGATGTTTCACTGATGGATCACGCATTGATGGATCCACTGGCTTCGGCGTCTTCAATGAATACTCCACCGCCTTCCGGAAACTTCAGAAACCTTGTTCCGTTTATGTTGCTGAGCTAGAAGCAATCAACTTCGCATTGGGGATGATTTCCGACATGCCCATAGACCATTACTTCATCTTCTCGGATAGTCTCAGTTCGATTGAGGCTACTGGGTCGATGAAACAAGGTGGGCACTCATCTTATTTCCTTTCAAAGATAATGGAGCAGATGAGTTTGCTGGTCGAAAGATCATACAGGATTACCTTTGTATGGGTCCCCTCACATAGAGATTGCTGACGTTTATCGTACACACACTACGTTGAGCGACGTCACGTATATGTATACGCAAATGTTTTCATCAGGAAAAGTTTCACTCATACACAGCAAAAAAAAAAGTAATATCGATCAACGTAATTCAAGCTGATGTAATAGCAAAAAGCAGATACAATATTACATCAATGGATGTAATTTTGTTCGCAAAATCGATGTACATCGTACAATGTGATATTACACAACCGATGGATTGACCTGGTTGCAGCAGTTTCGATGCAATATTCAACAACTTTTTTTTGCTGTGTAGCGAAATATTTTCCTACTAAAAACAAATCACTGTCGCAATCGCACTTTAGAAATCTCTATTGCTCAATCCCAGGCAATGAGAAGGCAGATTCTCTCGCAAAGGTGGGCGCATAACAAGGCGAGATTTATGATAGAAGAATTTTACATGATGAATTTTTCCCATTAGTACGCCAGAGTTCTCTTTTCAGTTGGCAAAACGATTGGACAAGTAATTCTCTTGGGCGGTGGTTACATTCCATTACTCCAAAATGTTTCTTCGAGAGCGTGGTTCAAAGGTCTGGATGTAAGTCGGGGATTCATTCGAGTGATGTCATGACTTATGTCCAACCACTACTCGCTAGACACACACCTCTACAGAATAAACCTCGTTGACAGCAATATCTGTCGGTGTGGAAACGGTTATGATGACATCGATCACGCAGTTTGGCATTGCCCGGGTAATGACACCTCCAGAGCACGTCTATTGGATACCCTAGTGGCTGGCCCGAGGTAGACAACCCTTTCGTGTAGTGATAGATGTATTGGGAACCCGTGATCTTCTCTACATGCAGGCAACCTACGAATTCCTTTGTTTGTCTGATGTTAGAGTTTGATGTGACCATCTCCTCCTTTCCACACACTTTCCAGCCATTGTATCCCTGTCTTATTAATCACCTGTTTCTGTGCTACTTGCCCCTGCCCAGCCAGCATTTGTATCAACCGTTCGAGACTAGTATCTGAAAGAGTCTTCAGAATACCTGTTTCCTACACTGAAAAAAGTTTTCACTTAGTTTCTATTAGGAAAGCACATAATAATCTTCCAAAAACAAAAATAATAATTTTTATGTGAATATCACATAACATCAGAAATTCTATGTGACTAATCATATAGATTTCATTGGACACATAACGTTCATGTGCTTTAGTGGTGCAATTTCCAATTATGGGATCACATGAAAGTTATGTGAAATTCACATGGATATTTTCCACTGGTTATGTGATTTATTTTATGACTGTACTTAGCTCCTTCCAATCGAAAATTTTACCCATTAACCTCGAGCCCGCCACGAGTAATTGGTATCCAATATTAACCTAGATTACTGTTGTTTAAATTGTTGATTCAAAAATTACGGATTTTTGGCTCTGCAAAGTGTCACACACGAGTGAGCCTACTAAATAGACGAACTAGTTAAATAAAAGAAACATTCCGAACCACACCTGTTAGTTGAAATAACTATATAGGGAAAATGGCTCTAATGTTGGCCTATGGATCTAATATTGGGCCCATCGCTAAAAATCTTGACAGAGCTGGAATTAGGGCGTAACAGCTTTGTAAACAATGACTTCTCTCGATGATTTCTAGAAACTCAAGGAACGCCAACGCAAACCAACATAACCAACGGGAAGGGGAAGACTTCCCCTACCCGAAAGTAACGTTGATTTGAGTGAGCGAGCCTTGGCTTCCTAGAAATCATTGAGAGAAGTCATTGTTTACAAAAGCTGTTACGCCCTAGTTCCAGCTCTACCTAGAAATATGTTATTTATCAATTTTATCTAGATGAACGCGTCATTGGGACGGTACTAATGGATATTTTTGGTTGCTATTGAAAATTTAGTCGATTGCTGAATCTATGTATGGGCTATGTAAATTCTTCCACAAATGCAAAAATTATTATTCCGAATAGCACAAACCGGCACTCCATGGTCGACCAGTCAGCAGATTCGACTGATATCAATAAGAAAGCCCAGTAACTACGACAGACAGCCAAGTCGCAACACATACCTGTACCACAACGCCTTTCGTAGGTACGTTCTCTCTCCCGAACCGATTGAGCGAAACCCTCGATCCCCTAAGCCAGAATGGCACATGTTGTCGTCGAATCAGTCGAATCGGTCTGCCCTGCTCAGCAACCAGCTCAGTACGACCAGGGCACGGTGCTTAAGATTGCCGCTCGCTATACTTATTCTAATTCGCGCATTTCTCCTCGATCGCATCGCCTCTCCAAGAAAGTGTGATCATCACCGCAAGTGAAATGAAACGCCAATCACCATCGGCTGAAGATTTGTATAATTGCCTGTAACGCTTCCCGTCGTCAATTCAGACTCGATTCAACCTTCGGCGCGATCAGATGTGCGACTTAATTTAATTATCCAAAATTTGGCCTACTGCTTGATTATTAATATCAACTTCGTGCTTAATTACCAAACGGGTACCCATACATGTTGATGGAAAAAGCGTGAGCGTGTGTGTTTTGGTGATCATTCAGTTTTTGAAGGCTGGATCAAATCGGAACAAGTGGGTGAGAAGAGATTGAATCATCAACTAGGAATCAACGAATCTTAGTGCTAACCGAAACAAGTTACTAAGTGAGTGCAAGATTAATTGGTTTGCGATTGTGCCATATGGTAAGCTTATCAATACAAGTGATTAGACGTGGGCGAGATCGAACGGTGTCTAAAGGGGAATTTTATCAGCTCATTTGAGGGCCAGGCGTAATGAAACTACGGATAGGCTGTGGAGTTTAGTCTGCCTTTTGACAGTGGAAACCAGTTTTGTGTACTGTAAAACTTGCGAAACGAAGGCGTAAACGAAAAATATAAGATAATGGTAAAGTTGTGGTGTGTGTGCAGTGAAAGATATGGTAAAATAAAAAATCACCGAACGAAATTAAATCAGAATTCGTGTGGATTGATGTGGAGAGAAGTGTATCAATTATAAATTAAATTGGACAATTTTTTCCGTTGATGCTAATAATAGAATTTGATTTTTGACTTTCCCCGATCGAGATGCAAATCATAGGGCTTGGCTGGCTGTCGGATATGCATCGTCAATACCATCGTTGACATCACACGTCTCATGGAGAGGATTGAAATTGAATACATTCTAATTTATGGTTAATTGGAAGTAAACAAATACAGTGGGCCACGGCCAAGTGGATGCTACTTGGCAAGCTCGTTATGCAGCGTGATTTGAAATTTCACGGAAAGATTTTGCATTGAAATCATTTTCTTATGGAACGTTTAAATTTAAATGTTTTGCATAGATCCAATTAATTTAGTAAATTACACTACTGAAGTGGACTGTTTTTTAAATTCTTCGATAACTAATGCTAGAAACAGTTCTGGATTGTATGAATCTGTTGTTAGAGTTCGCAAACTAATATCATTCTTAGTGAACATCCATTAAGTACGTCACACTCTAAGGGGGTATAGGAAAAACGTGACAAAAAGGAGGACCGGGGGGTTGATTTTCCCTAAAATTTGCGTGACGTGCTTAATACATGCTTCCTTATAATATGCATAAACAATAAAGCAGGCACTCATCGTTTGTGCCTTTTCAGAAGCATCACCGTTCTTCTTAGCATTAATATACATAAACAAATTTGACCTTCTTTTCTGCCAATAATAGGTCAATATCAACCACTGCTCATGGTACTAGGGAGAATGATAATGGCTAGCCCATTTCCTTCCTTGGTCCGTATCGCGTGACAACAAACGAGAAAGTCACGGTTTTTGTTGTTTTAAAGCATTCCACGTAAGGAAATATGGGACAACGTTATCATCGCGAAATTGACCATTAAAACTAATAGCAAACGCTTTTTTTTTTGTTTGATAATCCGTGCAAAACAAATTAACCACGATCATGGCAACAGGCACAATCGGACGGGTGTCAAAAAAGTCACAAATGTTTCATCATTCCCAATTTCTCCAAGGTGGAATTTTCTGGATCGGTTTGTGAAGATTATGAAGTGTTATTGTTTAAATAATGCTATTTTTTCGGGTCACACACAAGTCAGTGGCCTAGACTTCGTTAATCGTTGCTGCTGAAGAATCTTTACTGTATGGTTGGTGTGATCTCACTGACCTAGGCTTTTCTTGAGCCGATAGAAGGTTGAATATTATTGCAACGGTTTGTGATACAAGAAAGAGGTGTTTGATGGAAAATTTCAATATTTTTAAGGTGAATATAATGAGAAGTAGCTTAGAAAGTGCCTGGGAGAGAAGGAAGATTATCACTAGCTTGATTATTTTAACGTATCGTAACGTGATAACATCGATTATGCTTAAATTTTGTCTTTGAAGTTGTACTCCCAACTGGGGAATGTAAGATTCTATTACAGATAGGCATGAAAAGTATACTTAATTTATCATGTTTAGTCGCATAAACAGATTATGTAATGTGGTAGGTTTTATGAAAATAATTAAGAAATTTTGATATAAGATCAGTTTTTTACCCAAATGCCTTGCAACTAAAAAATCATCATACGAAAATTTTCATTCCGAAAAAAAAAACGGTTAAGTCCATTGTAGGTTCTGCCATTACGTTTGTTGTAAGAAACACTTTAAGGGGATTTGAAATTCCGAATTTAACGAACTTCAGATCAAAATGTTCCTGGGAGAATATTAGTTCGTTTTTTTTTCAATGTAATTTCAAAGATAAGATATGAATCAAAGCAATCAACTTTCTAAACGCAACCATTTTCGAAGTTAATGTCTATTTTTGTGAGTGTTTGACGACTGTGGTGATTGATTTTTCGTTTTACGGTCGTACGCTCGTTAGCGATTCATTCACCTTTTGTGAATTTATAAACAGTGTTAAATTCACTGGACGTGAAAGCACTGTTCAATTACTGTCATTGGTCGAAAGGTACAGTAGCAGCACCTACCCCACCCGTGTCCCCTCGAGATCATCAAGTCGACGATGACAGGAGCACATATCGTGGTAGGGGTAAACAATAGCTGCAATTTCCAAACCTACGACTTGATGCCTTCCTTCAAATAACAACTGAAGTACGGTAAAAATCGGTAGAACTGTTTAGAACACATCGTTGGTACTTGAGCGGGTCGGCGTTCATCTCTTTTTGCCAGTGATGGCGGGGGGGGGGGGGACACCCCTCACCATCCCTCTCCAAAGGGGGAGTTTGGTAAAGAGAGATGAAAAAACCGATTTGTACCTTCCTTAAAAGTTGTCCTAGCTCTCTATCTACTTTCTATATGTAATTTTCACACTGCCGTACTCTAACGGAACTATCAACTCTAGGCTTTCATCTCCTCCATCTATCGTATAAAACTTGCCACTTTAGTCTGTTATTTGAAATTAGCATCTTCAACTATGTAAATCATTAACATCACGCAGAAGTAATACTAAACATATAGTCAAAGTACTGTTCATCCGTTATCCAAGCAACCAAAAGTTCAACATTCGACGATAAAACTCAGTTTCAAGTTCTTTAAAGTTCACTACGAACAAGTTTTCGGAACCCCATCTCACCGGCTATAGCAGATTGGGTGATGGAAACCCTACTAGACACGCTTGTGTTGAACATTCCATTACCGTTCATACGCAAATACGTCGCTGATCTGATCACGGCTATTCCCCTCGATCAACTGCAACATGTACTTGACACCTTCAACAGCTATGACGTACACATCCAATTCACCCATGAGTTAGAAGTGGAATCCTTCTGGGATATGCGATATGCTCCTAACACGGCAGAGCGATCGGAAGATAAAAAAAGACTCATAAATCGTATGAATGGACGGCAAAACTAAAGCACAACACGGCCCGAACTTGTTTGACAATGAACTCCGCCGGGACTACTACAACATAAAACTAGCTAAACACAATGTCAGAAAAGTAGGCAGCCTCTTCACTAAGGTGAAAAATCCTGTACCACCTGAGCACCAAAAAAACGTTGTCTACAATATTCCGTGCATCAACTGTGAAGCCTGCTATATTGGCATGACAACTAACCAACGGAAAATACAGATGAACGGACATCAAACTCACTACAATGCACTGGACAGACTGATGGAGGAAGCAGCCAACATCACCGATCACAGAATCGTTTCACGGTAACTGTAAGATGGTTCTGTATCACTACTTATAACTGAAGAATAAAACCAGAACAAAACATGCAATTGTGTTTTATGGCATACTTTTCATGACCGATTATAAAACTTGAAGTACTCTTATACCATCGTTCAAGCCTCATTACAACTATCTTCTTTATCAGAAGCTCAAGATTTACACATCCATCCAAGATTCACAGATAAGAAAAATACTACAACAATAACAAAAAATACCCTGAAAATTGTTACCAATTAAAAAAAAAAACCCGAATTTATCCACCTATGGTGTGATCAGACCCTTCTTACTTATTCAAGTTTATTTATTTTATTGTCATTATCAGTGACCAAGCTCCCCACCCCCGTGTCATCCAGTGACGCTACGCCACTGCCTGGGGGTACCCGGAATATATCCGAGTGTAGTCTATTTGGTGAGGCTACCAATCACCTCATCATCGTATTTTAATGTGATTTAATGGGTTTTAATTCAATTCATATTCAAGCAACTTCCCCGGGGTACCCGGAACATGTCCAAGTGTGTCCAATGTGGTCTGGAACACTTAACACGACTTGCATTGATCTTATTTTTGAATTCTGTAGTAATTTGATGTGTCGCATGATGGTTTGATACGTTTTCCGTTAAATCCAGCGTGAAGGCCCATATTCACCGGATCTTATTCCGGCCATATCTCCGGAACCGGTTCACCAATTCTAAAACCGTTCAATAGCGTTTGCGACCTATCATTTGGCGCCGAGTTTGTCCAAATCGGTTGAGCGGTTGCTGAGAAACGTGAGCGCATTCATTTCGTTACATACACACACACTTACACACATACACACATACACACATACACACGTACACACAGACATGTTCCGATCTCATCGGGCTGAGTCGAATGGTATATGATGGTTTTGATACGTTTTCCGTTAAATCCAGCGTGAAGGTCCATATTCACCGGATCTTATTCCGGCCATATCTCCGGAACCGGTTCACCGATTCCAAAACCGTTCAATAGCGTTCAATGGGACCCCAAGACCTATCATTTGGCGCCGAGTTTGTCCAAATCGGTTGAGCGGTTGCTGAGAAACGTGAGCGCATTCATTTCGTTACATACACACACACACACACACACACACACACACACACACACACACACACACACAGACATGTTCCGATCTCGTCGAGCTGAGTTGAATGGTATATGACACTCGGCCCTCCGGGCCTCGGATCGATAGTCGGTTTTTCAAGTGATATCTATACCCTTCTTTGTAAGAAGGGTAAAAACGTCGAAAATGAGTTCGTGGAATTTGAATAAATCGAGTGCCTTCAGTGCTTTTGAACAGGATGAAGATGAGACGATCGCCAATATGAAACTCCTGGATCATCTACAGTTATCATGGGCTCCCTCATTTAATATAAGGCACAGTACGGTGAATGAGTTCTTAAAAATATTGAACAAGCGGCTTTCCGATACACTTCCGAAAGATCCACGAACCCTTCTTAAAACTACGCAGTCAGTTTCACTAAATCCGGTTGGAGATGGCCAGTATTGGCT